TTTATACGTCACGCCCTCGGGGAACTCGTTGATGAAATCGTAAGCGCCCCAGTAGAGGCGGTATTCTTCTGTGAGGAGGGGATGGGTAGGGGATTGAGCGTAGCCGTGGCGGTACTCGCCTGAGGATTTATCGGGGGTGCCGATGCGGAAGAGTTCTTTGCCGGCGGACTCGGGGGTCCATGTTGCGGTTATGGAAGTAGCTTCTCCTGCTGAGACGAGAACGTCGTCTTGGATGTAGTCGCCAAAGATGCCGTCAGCGTAGACTGTGAGACGGTAGTTTCCGGCTTTTACTCGAGGAATGGTGACTTCGCCGGCGGGAGAGATGTCTTCCCAGTATTGGTAAGCTTTTGTGTCGAAGACGTTGTCTTGGAAGTCGTGGCCGCTCTCTGTGAGTATGGCGATGGGGTTCTTGGCTCCGGCGGGCAGGTTGATCTTTGCGTTCAAGGTACCGCGACCGGATGTCGGGACGAGGTTTGGCACGTGCTTTGCGATGGAATCGTAGAAGTCGGCGTTCCATTCCGGACGGAGACCATACTGTTCGGCATCTTCTCTGAGCTCTTCTAGCGAGCCGCCGGAGTTGAAGTGGAAGTACTGCGGCCCAAAGGTACGGTCGAAGCCATCGGTGATGTTGGGCGTTTGATCGCCATGGTGGTTGGAGACCATGTAGTTGTATACGATGCCATCGACCACGAGGTCGGAATGGACAGGGCCGTTGAAATAAGTCTCGACGGTGTTGTGCACAAGCCAGGCGCCGTAGGTTGAGCCATTGGCGCTACCAGTACCGTCGGCGTACATACCATGGGCCTTGTGATCGCGCCATGTGTCTTGGAAGGTGTACTTGGTGAAGTAGTCTCCTACGCCGGTAACGTATGGATCTTCTTTGTTGGCCAGCCACCATGTAGCATCTTGAACAGTGACTTGTCCTTCGGTATCTGGGCGGGGTGCAGCAAACTTCTCGTTGGTAACGAAGTGCGTGAAGAGCGCGGGTTCATGGTTTGGCCTGAACAGTGTGCGAAACTCTTGCAAGTTGCGTAAAAAGGGAGTAGTCTTGTTGTTGTATACTACGCGGCTGAATGTATGCAGACCTGTTTCTCCTTCTCTCAGAAACCAGTACTGCTCTAGCCTCTGACCGGTCGGAGCGTATGTCTCGCCCATGCTGATACCCCCATACGAAGTATTAGTAGAGTCTCTGCCGTTGAACAGCTGGTACTGAACATTGCTTCCCCGGCCCGGTGTCCAGAAGCCAGATGGAGTGCAGTAACAGTCGAGATATGGACCGACTCCAGTGTTGCCATCTTCCGTCCCGAGGAGGTTTTGTCCGTCCAGCGTAAGGACGTTGATGTATCCTCGTGTCTTGCTTACCGACGCAACAAGACGGTCATTGGCAATGGTCAGACTTTGGTTGTTCTGACTCGCGCTTAGAAAAGCCCATGCTTTCGAAGACAGCAGAAGCGCCGCTGCGGTCGCTGTGGTAGAGCGCATGTTGTGAACGGAAGGCGCCAACGAGCACTACATGCCTTCGGAAGTACTTCGCTCCCCATTCTTATACAAGCCGTATCCAGGTACACGGGAAAATTAATTGAAGTTAAGCTCGATGATCCTGGCCGTAATCCGGGGTAAAGGAGGAGGACTGCTATGGGGAAGACGCGCTACTCGGCCCCTCGGCGTGAAAGCGACCGAGGACAGGGTCTGTTGGAGGGCGGGACGGCCTACATGTTGCTGTCGAAGATGCGATGAGTAAACAAGCCGCACTGCATGGCCTGTTGGTGCAGATGTAAATCCGTGTTGGCATTGGGGGTGTGCAGAGGTCGTTGACGTCGCCGTGGTGCCGCGCTGGCTACTAGCTCTGCTTCTGAAGAGCTATGACGGAACGCGCCTTCTTGCAGCCATCGCGTACCCGTCATCATACACGCGCGTGTTCTTGCAATTCGGTACTGTTCGATGATACAGAGCCCCAGACAATACACTACAGCGCGTACCTAGGTACGGAATCGTCCTCAATATCGCTCACATGCCCATCTGTGTAGCGAACGGGAACTCGAGCACGTACGCCCATGTGCATCTGGTGCCTTGGACACCGGGCACCTATGTCGTCTTATCATTTGCTTTTTTCCTACCTTGATTACGCTGTGGTAGTCTCGCGAACAGAATAACGCGTCCTTCGACTGTTGCCTGGCTTTGTTTCTTGCTGGCCGTCGCCCGCCGCATGCCGTGCCACAAACAGCGCAAGGATAGGCCCGAAAACTGTTGCGAGCTCGATGTCTCCAACACGAGCCCTCATGCATATATATTAGTATACTGAAGAGAACATCCGCCGTCGCGCACCACTGAAAACGTCCTTACGCTTTGTTTCGACAAAGAAAGGACCGATCCCACATGCGTTCACCATCGGCGCTGAGGCGTTCTCTGAAAGAATACCTCATCGAAAAACTGATTGAGGCTCCTTGGCACCGTATAGCGGAGAGAAATGGACGCAAACGAAAAGAATTCCTCGACAAACTCGGAGCTGCGGCTAGTGCTAAATGGAATGGACGCCTCCCGTCTGGAACAAGCGCGGAAAGTAACGACCTCTTCGACCTCTTCTCAAGCGCAAACGTCTCAATTCAGCAACAATCCCCGCTCTTCGCAAAGCTGCCTCTAGAGCTGCGAAGGCTTATTTACGCTTATGCCATCGGCGGGGAAGAACTCCAGCTTGAACTCCATGAAGACAGTGATACCGACGCCTCGTTTAGCATGAGATGTGTTGAGGCACAAAGGATCTTGGCTTTCACGAGATCATGCAAACTTGCGTGAGTAAACTAAACCTGTTGAAAGGCCGAGTTCGTGGCTCCATGTTTCAGCGTCTGACGGAGTCGTCACAGATATATAGAAGCGATACAGTATGTCTATGGGGACAATACATTTCGCATCCCCAACATCACAGCATTCTTCTGCCTTCAGCGCCTTCTTCCAGCGCGCTGGTTCCATGCCATCCGTTATATAAGATTGAGATGGGCATATATGCAAACAGGCGAGATGTGGGAATTTCTCCACGGATATCCACCTTACAATGCTTCGTGTTGGTCCCTGATATGGTCGGAAATCTCAAAGATGAGAGCACTAGAGCATGTGAGAGTAGAGATGGTGCCCGGGTCAACATACATCTATGCTGACTATGAATATGCTTTGTTTACTCCATTAGAAACCGCCCAGGGATCGAAAGAGTTTGAAGTTTACGCTAGTTGGCCCGAACATAAAGACCTTCATCGTCAAGGGAAGACATGGCCGTTCAAGATCACGCGGGGAGTGGAGTGGCATTTTCCAAACCAAGAATAGGCCCCAGCCTGAGTAAGAGGTGCATTGTCATCTTCGTCAAGAGTCGAGTTGGCGATATGAGCGCAATGGCTCCGCTAGGCCAGATGTCATCCCACCGAGAAATAACAAGTGGGCTTTGCGGCGTTCACGCTGAGCTAGGTAGATTCGGCTCATAATCAGAGAGGGGGCACCCTGCTTGAACCACGCCCCAATTTGAAGGATACCGTGCCGCATCGACTTCGCCCCATCCGGTGATTAGGCAGCAACTTCTCATATCACTCATGTGCTATTTCTACTTCGGATTGAACCGTCGCTTCATTGTCCACAACTTTTCAATGCTCAGAACACCAAGTTTTTGATATTGCCCTTTCTCATTTTCCCAATCTTTCTCCACTTTCTATCACTAGCCATGCGATTGTTCGAAGACGTAGCGTGGTATATGCTCGGCAAATTTGTGGATGTAGTGATCGAACCTACGATGAAAAGGGGCAGAATCAAGAACTTTCAGGAGCGACGACGAAGAAAAATAGAAAAGCAGAACACGCTTCGAACGAACTGGAACGCATCTTTACCACCTATACGCTCCGACACGATAGAAGTCCCGGCATTGAGCGCAGCAACAGATGGGATCTCCACTCAGCCGCAATGCTTGTTGTTCACGAAATTACCTCCAGAGCTACGGACGATGATTTACCTATACGCCTTCGGAAACGAAGAACTTGAAATAGAGCTTATCCCGGAAGAGATCGAATTATGGAGATACTTTTACGGTGTCCGCCCATTACCGGTTTTCGATGTGAGATGCGCAAAGTTTTTGCAGCTCACAGCCTTTCCACGGTCGTGTAAATTGGCGTATGTTATTCCCTCCATCTGAGGCTTCGCTGGCCCGCAGAACATGACTGACTTCTCTGCGCTAGGTACTCCGAGTCTATACAGCATCTCTACTCATCCAACACTTTCTACTTTCCTACCTGTACAGCATTCTTCTGCTTCCAACGTCTTGTACCTACCCATCACTTCCAGGCTATCCAATCATTGTACTTGAAGTGGGCGAGTGACAAGCTATGGCTGATATGGGAGTTCTGTGATGGCGTACCGCCCTACGACATCTCAAGCTGGAATCAGACCTGGAAGGTCATATCAAAGATGGGAGCTCTCAAGTACATGAGGGTCGACCTGGTGGCATGCGCTGATCGTCCCGAGCCATACTCCCATTTTGAAGACGTCTTATTTGCCCCGCTGAAGAAAATCCAGGGCTTGCAACAATTTGATGTCTTTCTTAGCTGGGAAGAAAGCGAAACAGTACGTGAAGAGGGAGTGCAGCCTTTTACGATCAAAAGAACGATGGAACATGTTCGATGTTCGATGAACACGCCCGGGCCGTGTGGAGCTTTGGATGGACACATCGAGCAGCTTCCGGGGTAGTTTACCTATGTTAGATCATCGCGTTAAGATTTCGTCAGTCGAAGTTGTAACTAACTCACACAAAAGTAATGCTAAAGATGCATAACCGCAAGAATTGAAAGTGTTATACTCATCCAAAATGCCCTGTCCCGGCTGTTCGGTGCTAATCCGGGACGAATGACCGGTGACGTCATCATCTGGGGGGAACCGAACCCGCCTTGTGTACCTGCCTTCCGAAGCATCAACACCAAACATCGGAAACTCCGGGATCTTGTCAGCTTGCGCGGCCTTTTTCCGCAGTGATGAGCTCTTCTCAACCAGAGAGCCAGCCGCTGCTGCCCAGTTCTCCAACCAAGGTCATAGCTTTCGAGCCCCACGATCCAGACGACCCCCGGAACTGGTCGAAAGCGCGCAAATGGCTAATGGTCGCCGCCATCGTACCCATAGACCTCAGCGTCTCTTGGGGCGCGAGTGGCTTTAGTCCTGTCGCGAGCGACTTTGCGAAAGACATGGGCGTGTCGCCGAGCGTCGCTGTTCTTGGACTGAGCATGTATGTTCTTGGGTTGGCTTTTGGTCCTATGACTTTGGCGCCACTTTCGGAATACTTTGGACGGAGACCTGTCTATATTGTGTCTTACGGTATCTTTCTCTTGCTCCTTTTGGGGACGACATATGTAGAGAGACTTGGGCCGTTCCTTGTCCTGCGTCTGTTCTCGGGTTATTTCTCATCGACCACGATTTCGAACTTTGGGGGCACCATTGCGGATCTCTTTCATCACTATGATACTGGGCCAGCAATGTCTTGGTTTCTGTGGGCAGCGACAGGTGGCAGCCCGACTGGCTTTGTACTCTTCTCATTCATTGCACATGGTCGATCGTGGCATGCTGTGTTCCGCATCATGTTCTTCATCTGCTTGACCTTCTGGGTGGTCATGGTCGTCGCACTCTATAGCCTTGGAGAAACAAGACATAGTGTAATACTCTTGCGGAGAGCACGGGCCCTACGACAGCAAACAGGCGACGATGAGATTGAGGTACCGGACGAAATGAAGCAACGAGGACCGAAGCAGCTGTTTACTACGGCACTCGCCCGCCCATTCAGGTTCTTGGGTTCTGAAGCTATCGTACAGTTTGGTGCACTCTACAACGGGTTTCTATACGGCTTGAGCTTTCTCTTCAACGGTGCCTTCCACATGATCTTTGGCCCGAACGGATACGGTTTCGATACTATCGGTGTCGGGATCTCCTTCCTGGGGATTGTTGTCGGTATCACGCTTGGCCTAGCGACGAACGCCTTTCAAGAACGATACTACCAAAGACAAGTTGCTCAGGCCGGCCATCGTGACGTCCCCGAGGCTCGAGTGCATCATGCGAAGCTGGCAGCTATTGTGCTACCAGTCTCTCTTCTGGCTTTCGCACTCACCGCAACGCCAAACATACACCCCTTCTTCGCAGTCCTCGCCAGCGCGTTCTGGGGATGGTCATTCTACACTCTCAGTAAGTTACACAGATGATCCACGTCAATCATGCTGCACTAACAATTCGATGTAGTTCTCATGACGCTCACGTACACCGAGGACGCCTACAAGACGTACTCAGCATCAGCTCTTGCCGGAATTGGACTCATTCGGAATCTCGCTGGTGCTGGGTTCCCACTCGTCGGGAGACATCTGTTCTTGAACATAGGCACCAGGAACGCGAGTCTGGTACTGATGGCGATCGCCATCTGCCTAGCGCCAATACCATTCGTGCTTGAGAGAAGAGGCGTATCATTGCGCAAGAGAAGCCCATGGGCGGCCGCGCATGAAGATGAGGATGAAAATAGCTGAGTCAAAAGCCACTTGCGACAGCTGTGTCGCATTGTAGGGCTCAGTCTGTCTTGCGCACGGGAAGACGTTGGTGGCACGTCAGATTGTTCTCCGAATTCCAAGGATCTGGCTGTCACAAAACTCGACTACGGACCGCTTGTACGCCATATCATACCTTAATAATGGCCGCAGTGTGCACGGTCAAGCAGAAATGCCCTCGTGCGTCTATACCTGGGTAAGCACGTGGAACGGATTTCTGTATTCGACGAACTCCACATTACAATCGAATCAGAGAGCACTGGCCTACTCGCGTTCAATCTTTCCATCAACCACTGATATGCATACCTCATTACTCAGCCCTTCTGCCGTCTAGGCAGCGGCAAGTTAGCGACCCAGATGGTTCGATCCCGCGCACGTGACATTCACTACGCAGCAAACCCAACACACCCATTGGACAGAACAGAGCATGACGGCTACCCAAAATCAGCATAACAACGTTTCAACCACAACAGAACGTGTTGTTTCGGATCTGCCCGTGGTTTTAGCGCGTAATCCCATTGAACGTTACGGGCCAACCAACGCGTCGCGCAGCCGAGAGGGTCGGCGCGTAACGCTAGATCTCGCGCTGCCGACTACCCACCCGCGTATCCACCTGAGATATTCTTAGACCGTACGAAATCTACATATGAAGCTCTGCTCTTGCGATGATAGTGCAGTATTCTCCAGCTTCAACCATCTTTCTTTCCTTCAGTCGGTTTTCATTCGATTCTTTCCTTTTGAGTCTGTTCTGTGAACAACTCTGTGTTTCATTCGCGACATAACTTGCTTGTTTCCTTCAGTCAAGTCTCAGCATAGCGACGGAGTTGTTCTCTTATCCATCGTCTTCGTCATTTCCGGTTTTTTTGTTGCGAGAGAAATATCGACCAGCGCGCAAGTCGTGTCTAGTAACTACAAATTCATCTCGACTTACGACTACACCGCGACTCATCTACGAAACGTTCGCAAGACGCCTCGACAGCCTCTTCAGGAATTCGGAATATCCACACCAACGCGATAAACTCTCAGTAACAACACAAAAATGTCCTGCCAACCATTCACTTCGGTCCCTCAACCACCCACCAACCTCCCATCGTGCGCCGTACCTGTCGGTGGCTCGAACTCTTCAATACTAGATGCATGCTGCAACGGGCACATCAATGCGATCGCGACTTATTCCGCTCCCGACTCAACCACATCATCACCATCCGCGTCCTCAACTCCAGTCATCGTTAATTCAGAAGATAACGACGGCTGCTTCCAATACTGCATCACCGATTCACCAGACATCGTCCAGAGTTGCTTGGCACAGAAGATGGAGGAATACGAGAAAGAAAGTGCAAGTGGCACGGGCATGTTTGGCTGCTTCAACACAGACAAGGCGGTTGGTGCGAGAAAGGTCGATGAAGAGCGAGGATATGCTAGTTCGGGTGTGAGGATCAGTGGAGGTGCGAGCTGGGTGGTATCAATGCTGCTGGGTCTGAGTGTCATCGGTGCAGTTGTGGGAGGCATTTGAGCACCATTAAAGAGATCGGCACATGGCAAGACCATGGAAAGATGCGAGGTGTTTGACCGAGTTGTATACCCAGGGGTTTTCTCTAGCATCTCCTAGCGCTGACGCTGGACGTAATGAATAATGACATATTTCAATTCCTTGACTATAGTAGCGGTGTGGAACGACAACACTGATGAGATCTACGATAAGATGGTCTGAACGACTTGGTCGCACATCCGAACCGCAGATATATTCGTGCAGTCCCAAAAGTAAAAAGCAAGAGTTCCCCAGCCTCAAATCGTCTTCGACACCTACAAAGGCGGTGAGTGAGCAAAGGAAGACATTCCCCACACTCACAAAGCGCCTCAACAACATTGTGTGCTAAGAAGTCCGGTGCAGATCCCGTCACCGCAGTCGTAACTGCACTAAGTAGTGGTCGTGGTAAATTATAAACACCTTTGGTGTTACTTCTTACAACTACCGTCTAAGCCTGTCAATCAGAGACCATGTCAACAACGCCGGAGCAACCACACATCGTCAAATACTGTGACCAAAAACTGATGCACCCACAACCTCGGCATCCGGTGCCCATTGTCGAAATAGAAAGAATAGCAGCCAACGCTGAAAAACAAGCTTCTTCAGACCTAGCCTTCGCATCGCAGCAACAACCACAGGCGCAGCAACATCCACAACCACAAACGAAACCAGACCAAATCCCCCAACGAAAGCGAAAAGACAGCGCGGCGCCTTCATTAAATTGTGGCTCCCCCGTCTCGGAACAATACGAGCAAGCTTCCGGAAACGAGCTGCTTGCTACCTCACATTCGCCTAAGCATGTGCCGGAGCATTTCTCCAACTCGGGCTTATTAGAAGCTGGGTTCAACCAGGAGACTTCCCGCAGAAATTCCAACTGGCGTCGCTTCTTTTGTAAGCCCCCGATCGTAAGAAATTTAGATGAGAAGTTTTGCTGAGATTTCCACCAGATGGTTCATTAAAGTTCTTGATTCCTTTTGGCAGTGAATGGGATAGCCCGTGTTTAGCGTCCCGGAGGACTTCTGTTTGAATTGTGTAAATGTAAAGAGCGCGTACGCTACTTATGAATGAATGAAATTTCTAAATATGATATCTTTTCCCAGTTGATACTGCAAGCTTGATGTGTACCTGATGATGATGGGTCTGTGGCTGAGGGGCAGCCGATGTGGAGACGAGGGAAAGTTCCCCGCGACAATTTAGCGCTATCGCACCCCTGCCGCCGATGCGGAGCGTCATATCTTTTTCTCGAACGCGCAAACAGTCACAACCCAAATCCACACGTTATTCTCTCATAGATCTCAAGATGGCATCCGAAAAGAAAGTAGCAGAGAACATGCTCTGGGGAGGTCGTTTCACAGGTTTGTGCAGCCAATGGCTTTCTAGGGCTCACCAAAACTTGATATGACTGGTGCTAAGACGCGTTGCAGAGGGCCTTGACCCAGTCATGGAGCAATACAATGCGTCTCTCCCCTACGACCGTCTCTTCTACGCTGAAGATATCGCCGGCTCTATCGCGTTCGCTCGCGCAAACAAGAACAATGGCATCCTCACCGCCGACGAGTTCGCTGCCATCGAGAAGGGCATGGCCCAGATCAAGGAGGAGTGGGCGACGAATTCCTTCGAGGTCAAGGCGAACGATGAAGATATCCACACTGCCAACGAGCGACGACTAAGCGAGATTATCGGCAAGGACATCGGAGGCAAGCTCCACACAGGACGAAGCAGGAACGAGCAAGTCGCGACCGACATGCGGTTATGGCTGAGGGAGCAGCTCAGGACACTAGAGGGCTACCTGAAGCTCCTGATAAAGACATCGGTACAGCGAGCCGAGGCCGAGATCGACGTGCTTATGCCGGGCTACACACATCTCCAGAAGGCACAGCCCGTCCGGTGGTCGCACTGGATCCTATCGCATGCCACCGCGTTCGCATCCGAGCTCGAGCGCCTCCGCGAGGTCATCAAGCGCGTCAACCGTTCCCCACTCGGCTGCGGTGCATTGGCAGGCAACCCCTTCAACATCGACCGCGACGCCATGGCCAAGGAACTTGGTTTTGAGGGCTTGCTCACAAACTCCCTCAACGCTGTCGGAGACCGCGACTTCGTCTTCGAGACACTACAATGGGGATCGAGCTTCATGCTTAAGATGTCGCGCTGGGCGGAGGATCTGATCATATACTCGAGTCTGGAGTTTGGCTTCGTGCGCTTGGCCGACGCCTACTCTACCGGAAGCTCCCTCATGCCCCAGAAGAAGAACGCAGACTCTCTGGAACTCATCCGAGGAAAGAGCGGTCGTGCTTTCGGACATATGGCGGGCTTGTATGTCACCATCAAGGGTCTTCCTACGACCTACAACAAGGATTTGCAGGAGTCTGTTGAGCCTCTCATCGACCACATCAAGACGGTCAGCGACTCCATCCAGATCGCCACCGGTGTTCTGTCCACCCTGAAGATCAACGCCGACAAGATGCACGCTGCACTTGCCCCGGAGATGCTGGCCACAGAGTTCGCAGACTATCTTGTGCGAAAAGGTGTGCCTTTCCGTGAGGGTCACCACATCTCTGGTCGTGTCGTTGCGCTAGCAGAGGACCAGAACGTTCCCATGGACAAGCTGAGCTTGGAGCAGCTGAAGGGTATCGATTCCAGGTTAGGCGACGACGTAGTTGAATGCTTAGACTACGAGCGCGCGGTAGAGTTGAAGAACGCCACTGGTGGCACAAGCAAGAGCGCCGTCATGGAGCAGATCGACATCTTGAAGACGATACTCTAGAGTAGAGGTTTGCCAAGCGACGTCAAAAACGGGTTTAGACAAAATTCACGGTGGTCACAGGTTATGAGAAATGAGAAATGATTACTACACCACTTAGATGTCGAGTGGTGATGAAGGCTGTTGCATGCGTGCGCTGGTTGCATGTGCTTACCCCACTTCATCTAGCCAGCGGATCCGCGTTCACATCGCAATGAGCCATATGCTATGAGACAGATCTAGGTTTCCTGCAATTAACTCGCATTTTACTTCCAGGACAATCATTAGGATCGAACATTTGTCTGACTAAAGTTATCATGCAACCAGGTCCATACAACACCAATGTCATCGCCAACGTAAACTACTTCCCTGCCACCGGCATCCCCATCCCCAAATCAGAATGGAAAGTCAAATACCTCGACGACAAAGATGAACACACCCGTCCCATGCTCATCCGCGACGTAAGAAAAGCGAAGAAGACATTCGACCTAGACATCAACGGCTTCACATTCGTCACTCTACCACAGAAGCAGAGAGTAGATCGGCACAGCAGCGAAGAAGACGTAAAACGAGAATACTACCCCGAGTTGGAAGAAGTGGTCAAGAACTTGTACAAACCCCACCAACATCCTACGTCCACGACCTCGTCATCAGAAGCAAGATATCTAACAACGTCCCCAGAACCGGCGCCTCAACCGTCCACGTCTTCAACCACGTAATCCGCGCACACACCTCCCCCTCTGCAAAGGGCATCCAAGACGCCCAAGGCAGATGGCAAGACATTCCCTCGGGCCACCCGCACGTCGACTACGCGGGCTCCGCGTCCGCCCTTGCCGGTACGCTTACTGAACTCTCGTTCCCACCCCACATCAACAAGCTCTTCACAACATCCACGCGCTACGCCTTCCTAAACTGTTGGCGGCCGCTCAAAACCGTGCGTCGAGACCCGCTGGCCGTGTGCGACGCGAATACGGTGCCTGATGCCGATTATCAGGTTAGGTTGAGGGAGTTCAGTCGCACGGGGAATCGGAGTGAGAATTATGTTTTGAGTTGTGGGGCGTTGGAGGGAAAGAAGGGGACAGATATGTGTGAAGGACAAGGGCATGAGTGGTGGTATATGAGTGGGATGCAGCCGTGGGAGATGGTTGTGTTCAAGGGCTTGGATTCGAAGAGGGAGGAGAGGGGGTGGAGGTGTCCGCATACTGCGTTTAGGGTTGAGGGGAGTGAGGGGGAGGAGGCGAGGGAGAGTATTGAGGCGAGGGTTGTGGCGTTTTGGGAGTAAGATGGGGATGGGGTAGTGGTTATGTCATCTTCGAGGCTTTCTCTTCGAGATCTTTTCTGTGAATTCATTTCGCAACGAGCTATCTACGTTACTTGCTCTATTTTCCGGACTAGATTTTGCTGTGATGCGGGTTGATGGGAAACGGCAATACACATTTGCTGCCTTTACACGTCACGATCTTGATGTTGATGTCCTTTATCGGTGTGCCGCTCACGGTGTTCCTTCTCTCATCGCTTTCCCTGAAATGCCTCCGATAGGTAGATGTGCCTCGACGTCGAAACGGATCACTAATAGTTGGTCCACAGTCCCGGCCGTGCCGGCCTTGATCGAAGTGAGCCTAGGCGTATGTTGGAGGTAGACAGTGGCCTCGGGGGCCTCTCAGGCCGTTCGCGTATGCTGGGTAGATCGTGAAGAGAGCTTGGTCTGCGTAGGTGCTCGCTGTTTCGTCGCGGTACATCAAGAAATCGGCTACTAGTCCTAGATTCCGCCTGGTTGCTGAATCTGAAATTCGACTGCCCACTCGCCATCGCAGCCTGCTGTTCATCGTGGAGGTGTTTTGTAAAGACGAAATCTCTCCATTTGAGCTCTTTCTTCAAAGCGATAAACTTTGGCTCTGCATAGACCTCTCGGTTGATTTTGGCCATGCCGTATTTGCAATGCTTGCGATTGTAATCTTTGATCGCCTTGCCGAGCACTAGCCGAAGCGCTTCGCACGACCTTGTCCCAAGCTGTGCAACGACCATGTCGTCTGAGACGAGTCGACGTGCAAGTAACTTTTGACTCTTATCCATACCCAATTTCCCCGGCAGGAGACCGCGACCCCGAGTCCAGAAGGACGGCTTAGTGTAGAGTAATGTCTTGTGATGATTTCCACCTTCACACCTGTGCATCCGGAAAGCGTACAGCTGCTCGAAGACGTAAGCGATGTCGACTCCAATAGTTCGTGCTGGCTCCATGATGAAAGTGCTAATGAACTCGCGGTCGCTATCCTTTAGCAGACTCTGAGTATTATCAACGACAGTCTCACATGCCTTGTGGATGACATCGGCGTATTCGAGAGCTACGCGCGTTCCTTGATAGGTCAAAAGGCTGATATTCCGCGCGGAGAGGTTCGTGGTGGACAGTTTGGGCGAACATGCAGCGAGCGCATAATGGAGCTCATGAAAGTCGACGTCATAGCTGTATACCAGGATGTCGACGAGAAGGCGGACAAGGAGATCGACTGCGGCAAGCTTGTCTTGAGGAAGTTCCAAGTTTGTATCGTGGCCTGAGATTTGTTCTGGCCCAAAGGGATAAGACTCCAGGGGGTGGTGGGAGGTTTCGATCGAATTACGTGGTGTGATGGGAGGGCGATGACTTGCGCTGTACGTTCGTTTTAGTTGCCCTGCGCTCAGGTTGCCTACACCCTTCTGAGACAGTTCCGGCATTACGAAGCCCTGTGACAAAATGAATGCTGCTGAGAATAGCGAGAAAGACGACGCTGGTACCGAGTGCGATCGTTCGCAGGCTTGACGAAGAGGAATGGAGAAAGTTGAATCACAATCACGAGGGTGCCGCTGAGACCCTTTTGAACTTCCTTACATCGAACAACGTAACCATCGTCAAGTTGTGGCCTGTAGGGGTCCAAAGCGGAGTCGTTGGTCGTCTGACTGGCCATCCACGGCGATGTATTGTGCGAGACCTGGCATCTCAGCGGATGATTTGTTGAGAAAGTCTGAATCACATATCCAGGGTCGATGATGATCGTACTATTCGGCTTGCTTCAACCGTAAGTGTCCTTCACAGCAGACCGATGCGACGACTGCCCCTACCAAAGCATCGATTAGTAGAGAAGGCTGAAGTCTTCATGTGATCAGCTCGAAGACACGGGCGGCGTAAGTCAGCTTCATCGTGAGACATCACATCGGCTTGAGAGAGGAATTGCTGAAGCGTGATGTGCGAAGGCGTGGGATGGAATCGAGCATGTGAAAGCAGAAGGCGAGGGGTGAATGCAGGGTGGCAGGGGTGTGCTGCATGACGCCACAGCCGAGGAGCCAAAATTACTCGGCCTGGCTTATCGATTAACAAAATTATCGCCGTCCCACTCTCCACCACCCACCAGACAGTGCAGCGCCGAGTTTCTAACACCGCATAGTCAAGGTGGCGTCGATTCCTTTCCGATTCAAATCAGGTGGCAGCGGCAACAATATGGCGCCCATGGCTGCGACAGCGCACCACCACCGGAGCACGACCAAGAAGGACAAGAAGGGCTTCAAGTCCCGCCATGCCACCAAAGGCGCGCTGAAGGAGCAGAGCAAGGGTCAGTCGCTCCTTCCCCGCCACCGCGCCCACATCTACTGACTGTTTCTTCAGGCAAAGTCAACTCCCTCTCGTTCGAATTCGGCAGCCGCAAGACCCCCCACCAGCAAGTCATGAGCAAGTTCGACCGCCGCAACCGCGCCAAGCAGATGCGCATCAACAAGGACCACGAGCACGCAAAGTCGTCCAACGTATTCGCCGGGAAAGATGGTGCGCCGAGGATCACCGCTCTCATTCCGCTGTGTTCGGACGTCTCTACCGCCGAAGCTGTCCGCAGCCTGAACGCCAGCCTGGACATTGAAGAGGAGGTTCCCGAGGCGGGATGGACACGCACAAACGTCGACCGTTTCAAGCAAAAGGTGCAATATTTGATCGTCAAGAGGGATCTGCTGGCCGCTCTGGACGCCTGCCGTGTCGCCGATTTTGTCGTCTTCATCCTCTCGGCGCACGAAGAGGTCGACGCAGAGGGCGAGTTGATCATGAAGTCGGTTGAAAGCCAGGGTATTTCAAACACCTTTACCGTGGTGCAAGGATTGGACAAGGTCGAGCCCGCCAAGGCCAGGCCTTCAGTCGTTTCGTCGCTCAAGTCGTACATCACCCACTGGCTACCCGCAACCGAGCGCGTCTACTCTCTCGACAACCGACAAGAAGCCGCAAACCTTGTCCGATCGCTATGCACAACTACCACAAAGGGTGTCAGGTGGAGGGATCAAAGGAGTTACATGTTCATTGAGGACATCGCGTGGCCTGGAGGCAAGTCGGCCGTTAACGCAGACGGCAATGGCGATGTTGTCATCACCGGTGTTGTGCGCGGGCTTGGGTTGAAGGCCGACAGGCTGGTGCAAGTGGGAGATTGGGGTGACTTCCAGGTCGACAAGATCGTAGCCGCTCCACTAGAAACGAGGAAGAAGCACAAAGAGGAAGAGATGGCTGTTGACACAGAAGGCGATGGCATCCTGGAGCGCCCAACGGAAGACCAGGACGACCTAGCAGATCTCGCACCAGAGGAAACAATCATGGATGACGTGACCAACTACGCCACGTCTATTGCGCCCTCTGAGCGCAAGGGCGTCTTGCTAGACGACCACCACTATTTCTCAGACGAGGAGGAGGAGGTCGCGCCGGCCAAAAAGAGGCGGTTACCAAAGGGCACAAGTGAATACCAGTCCGCATGGTATCTCGACGACATGTCCGACTCGGGCTCGGATCTGGAAGACTTCGACGACATGGAAGTTGACGAAGACGCCCAGAGCCAGCCTGCACACCCTGCAGATGGTGTAGAGGGAATGGACGTCGATGGCAAAGCTATGACTGAGGGCGCTCCTTCAGAATACCCCCAATCGGAGATGTTCCTAGACCCATCACCAGAGGACGAGGCTGCACAGATCGAGGAGTACCGGAAGTCTAGGAAGACAGAAGAGGACGAAGATCTCGAGTTCCCTGACGAGATCGAACTACACCCCAATGTGAATGCGCGAGAGCGTCTCATTCGCTACCGGGGATTGAAGAGTCTAAGGAACAGCACATGGGAGACGGAAGAGGATCGACCATACGAGCCGGAAGAGTGGCAGCGGTTGCTCGACATCTCCGACTACAAGCGCACAGCCACCAAGTTCATGCGCGAAGCCTGGGCTGGCGGTGTCAAGCCCGGAACTCGGGTCAGCGTTCACATTCGCGGTGTCCCGCTACAATTCCAGGAGATGCAGTCACGGCCAATGGCCATGTTCTCACTCCTAAGACACGAGCACAAGCGCACAGCCGCTAACTACAGCATACTGCTCAGCTCTGAGCATGATGGCCCGATCAAGTCGAAGACTGAGATGATTGTGCAGTGCGGACCAAGGAGGATAGTAATCAACCCTGTAAGTCACCTTAAGCCTCTATTCTATCCCTCAATACTGATAGCATCCAGCTCTTCTCCCACGCCGGCAACACACCGAACAACGTGCACAAATTCTCTCGCTTCCTCCACCCTGGCCAATCGGCCATTGCATCTTTCATCGGACCTCTAACCTGGGGCAACGTCCCTCTCCTCTACTTCACCCGCACAACCCCCTCTCCCGACCACCCCTCCTCCCTTCGCCTAATCGCGACCGGAACATCCCTCCCACCTTCAACCAACCGCATCATCGCCAAGCGCATCATCCTGACAGGCCACCCCTACAAGATCAACAAGCGCGTCGTCACAGTGCGCTACATGTTCTTCAACGACGGCGACGTCAAGTGGTTCAAGAGCTTACCGCTGTGGACGAAGCGCGGAAGGAGCGGTTTCATCAAGGAGAGTCTGGGTACACACGGATACTTCAAGGCTACTTTCGATGGCAAGATCAGCCCTATGGATGCTGTTGCTGTTAGTTTGTACAAGAGGGTTTACCCGAGAGGCGCGAGAGCGTGGAGGGGTGAGCTGGACCAGGCAGGTGAGATGGAACAAGCTGCTTAGAGGCTTACGACGCGTCAATGACTTTTATGATATCATGGGGTTTTAGATAGGCTAAAAAGGGTATGGAGTTTGTTGTTCATCTTTTACGAATAGAGTATCTGAGCCTATACCCGTTCAACAGATCCGTGAAGTAAACGCCGTGAAATGCTGATAAAGACGCGTACTTTTCACTGCCAATGCCAACATGAAGTCTGAAACAGCATCAAGCCAATTCTTCCCAGACTCACTTCCTCGCAAACCTCTCCAGCGCCGGTCCATAATCCTTCTTCAACCTCTCCTTCCTCTCAATCTGCCTCTTCTGCATATTCTTCAGTGCCTCCCTCGCGCGCTCCTTCTCCTCATCAACCACATTCTTCGTCCCACTCTTCCTCAAATACCTCCTCAGCGCCGAATTCCTGCCCTTCCCCCTCTTCTTCAACATATCCACCTTATCCGGCTCCTTCTCGCCCCTCGCAGCGCGGTATTCCCGCTGCCGCTCTTCATTAGACGCGAGATCGAGGTTACCGACGAAATTGGGGTCGAGCGCAATCATCTCGGGCTGGATCTTCTCAAGCAGGGCATGCACTTCTGTTTCGCGGCGCTGCTTGGAGGTTTCGTAGGGGTTGGTGCCGGGCTCGAGGGTGTCTGGGTTGGCTTCTCCGGCGCCGGGCACGATGATGGAGGAGAAGCCTTTGTCGTGCGATATGCCGAGGACGTCTTCGAAGGGGCAGAAGCGCACGCGGCTGACGTTTAGGCCTTCGCCGCCCCAGCCCATGTATGGCATGATGGGGGCTGCGGCGTCTCCGGCGTTCCGGCGGAAGATGTCGTCTTTGTAGATGGAGGTCTGTGTGCCGTAGCCGACGGCTGTGAGGTTGCGGTCGGAGATGGAGAGGGTGGTGCCCGGAACGCGGAGGTGGGTCTGGTACATCTCTTTGAACATGCGGACGTCCCAGACGGACATGCGTCGGTCTTGGGATGTGCTGACCATGTATGTTCCTGATCTGTCAACTGCGATGCTTCGGACGGGGCCTCGGTGTGGGAGGAGTTTGACGAGGGGCGTGGCGCTGTTGGGCGACCAGAGGGTTACGAGACCTTTTTGGTGGCCAACGTGCAGGATGGCGTTGTGTGGATTTTGTGCGAAAGCTGTCGCGGGACCGAGCTTGGTGTATAGTTGTGGTAGTGACTGTCCGGTCGAGACATCGGTGTATCGTATTATACCCGCGGTCGATACCGAGGCGAGGAGGAAGTGGTAGGGGAGGTATTCGAGGTGTGTGGCTTCAGAGTGGTTCTTGAGCTTGTGCATCTCCACGCCGTCGCCCGAGTAGATGTAGACACAGTTCTTCTGCGCGACCGCAAAGTTCTTCTGGTTGCTCGTATGCAGCCATCGCGCGTCTCGCACCGTCTCGTTGAGTTGAAGTTCGCAGCCGACCTTTCCGTCTCGCCAGTCAAAGGTCGCGACATGTCCTTTCCTACCTGCGATCAACAAGTCACGGCCGTTGCGACTGTACTCGCATACGTCGTAAGGACCCAGACCGTCTAACTTCAACTCGAAGCCTTTCTTTGCTGTCTCCAGACCAACTTCCCGCTTGATGTCGTCTTGTCGCACCTTGTATGTCCTTTCCAGCTCATTTTCGGTTTCCAACAGTCCTGGGTTGTTCTCGAGCAGAACTTCGACATTCTTCGCTTCTATCGCCGCCTGCTTGTTCTTCG